AAAGACTAGTATCTCTATATCCTTACAGCTCTTGTTGATACAGTCGTACCCTCAAAGACTATTATCTCTATATCCTTACAACTCTTGTTGATAAAGTAGTACCCTCAAAGACTATTATCTCTATATACTTACAACTCTTGTTTACAGTGAAGGGGACGCTGTAACCATTTCCCGATTAGCACTGTCTTAATTACCTCCCTTGCCGTCATACCAGGGTAGGGCGTTGCACCTGCAAATAAATTCCATCATATTGTTTACATAACACTTAACATTTTATTTTAAAATATTTTTCGAATATTTCATAATTTAACTAAACTGCTGAAATAACGGTCAAAAGAATAACTTGTGATTTTTATTTCATGTTCTACCAAAAGCCCTGACACTGGACTCTGAGCCATATACAGACAGAATTAGTTCTAGATTTTACTTAACCATGCATGTTATTGGTCTTAAAAATGACATACCTAAGGTAACGATCTCCCAGAAGAGAACTCCGAACGACCAGACGTCGCTCTTCCGAGTGAAACACTGGTCTGACAGAGACTCGGGCGCCATCCATCGGATAGGAGAAGGGCCCTACAATTTATGATAAATCGTTGGTAATAAAATACAATGTCATATTTGAAGCATGACGGATTCATAAAATGTTATTAAGCTGTTGATACATACTGGTAATGCATTCATCATAATATTGAGTGAATCTAGAATCGAGTCGGACTTAAAACGATATATCAAGAAACGATTTACACTCTATCCGTATGAAAATAATAGATCAATATTTACTGTACGACTCTTAACTGACTACAACAGTGTATCATCCTAAGCAAGTTCTCAATCAAGTCTAAACAAAAACTCACAGTATATGTATTTGGAATTATTTATGCTAAAGGTTATAAATATGGATACTTTTGTTACACATTATGGCGATATGTATATGCTATATTCTGGTAAATGATTGTTGTACGAACAGTAAAGTACCAACAATAGAATACAGTATTGTAACAATAAAGTACCAACATTAGTATATATTATTGGAACAGAAACATACCTTAGATGTACGCTCATACATATCCGAGCCCTCCACATCCCTCGCCAGACCAAAATCACAGATCTTGCATACTCTGTTTGGGCCCACTAAAATATTCCTCGCCGCTAGGTCTCGATGGATGATCTGATAAAGTGAATGGTACAGCATGAGATGGGGGCATTGTTAATATACCCACAACCGGGCAAAACATATATACTTAAAAACAGGCGATTAACTATTACTAATAAGCTTGAAACGACATAAAGTATTGTTGTTCGTAAATGAACCAATAGCGTACGTCAGTAAAAGAATATTGATCATATGTTGGCTTCGAACTCCAGAAAAAAAGAAAACAAACCCGAAAACAACCGACAGTTAAATCACTTGAACTATGATTATATTAAAGATAAGCATGGACACCATACAGAACATATACATTTTATGAATGTGGCGGAGAATATTCTAAACACTGAAGAAAGAAAAAAGGAATGCTGTAAGAAACGAGCAAACCAGTAGTATGTCCTTTAGTTCTTTACTTATGTAATCATGTATGACAATACAGCTACTTGCTTTCACACAATTGAATATAACCCTCGGTTGTTTAGGTTTCAAAGATTAAGTATTTGGTCCTTTTTTGACTTAAACTTCCACATACCCCAATCGAGGAAAGATACACCATTCCCTTAGCAATATGGAGGGCGTGTGTCTCAAGCTCCTTGACAGTTGGTGTAGTGACCTCTTCACTCGTGGTGGCCAGGTGACTTGGGCGGCACTTCCGGAGCTGGGTCTGGAGGTTGCCACCGGGGACATACTCCATAAGTATATACAAGGGATCTGTATGGTAACAACGCCATCGTGAATTAGTGTGTAAAGAAGGTGTTAGTACAAGTATCCAATATATTTCTTGTTTAAAGCTATAACGATACAGATATGCCTGACAAAACATTCTAAGTAAGAAATGCTTTAAGACGTTAGGTCTTTTTGTTTTAACATATTTTTTTCCAGCATTTGTATTTGTCCCAAGTCATTTCAGTATATACACGTACAATAAATATATATATATATACGATCAGTTGTACACTCGCTTAAACACATTCACTCTCTAATTCATGTACCATCACTCTTCAGTTCATGATAATGTATCTCTCAATGGTTTCGTTTAATATTTTGCAAAATTATCATCATCATCATCATCATGGAACATATTTTACAATACAGGCGAACTTCGTTAACTCTTTTAACTCGAAGACCCCGTTTATCTCGAAGTTTTGTTTATCATATATGTATTAAACTTTATACAAGCAAATGGATTGGAGATCATGCTGGGCCTATTATGATCATAACGTTTCCAGTTAACCAATGAGTTTATCAATTGGCTGATTAAATTTCACATTATATCATCATAACGGCCACAGAATGGACCATGGCAGTCGACAAGGTAATGATAAACACGAAGAAGCTGACAATGTTTGACGTAATGATAAAACTTCAATTCTATACACGATTTTAACAAATTCGTCTGCCTACCTTGTTTAGTACAACATCCGAGGTAGCTGACAATGTTTGGATGTTTGTCAATACTCCTCATGATCTCCAGCTCTTGGTATAGGTCCTCCTTTTCTAAGTCAGATGCGCTGTCTGGTTTGGGGGAAAATACATGTTCAGATGCAATAAATACATATACATACTTCATTCAAAACGCAACTCAGATTCCAGAACATGTCGTAGTCATGTGCTGCGGATGTTATATTATAACATTTAGAGTTAATCAATCAGTCTACTTCCAATTTTACGCTTCAACCTTACAATCTGTACATCTATTAACAGCCATCTAATGTTAATGAATACCCATTTTCGCTTCAACAGACATCTCAGTGAGATTTTGGGTTTTTTCTGACAGAAACTTAGGTCTTATAAAAGTTTGTAATTAACTATCCGTGACATATCCAGGTTTTATCTTTTTTACAGCATACAGCATTTTTTTTTTTTTAAATATTGCTCATTATTCAAGCAGTTTAAGAAAAGAAACAAACGACTTTTTTTGTGAATCCACCTGTTAACGTATTTGAATCATCATTGGCTACACTGATAAATCAAAGAGAAAATATAAGGTTTAACAACTAAAATGGTTTCCACTTTTATATGCGTCATTTCTACATGTTCCAATTAACACATACCTCTACATGTTTTTACAGCAACCATTTCCCATTTTCCAATACCAGAGACATTCAAAGCACGCGCCATCATGACCTTGCCGAAACGACCTTGACCTAGATCGATACCGAGTTGAAGTCGCTGACGTGGGAACTCGTCAGCAGGAGTTATTTTCGTATCCTTCGTATTGGTTGAGTGGTACTTTGTCTGAATATTATATATGTACATTAGCAAATGATCTGAATGACGAATGACCGAACAAAATATACACGAACACGTCATTTGTATTCACCAAAGAAATATAATGAAAAAGATGAAAATGTAAAAAAGATATAAAACCGAATTAACATAAAGTATCGACAAAATATGTATAACCAAAACAGATTGATAATGGAGACAATATTTCTGATATCAAAGTGATGTCACACTTCGTGAGTGTAGTATTGGTTTCAGATCGATTATGACGCCTCCCCCCATTAACATTAGCTTCATAGATTATTGTTATCAAATAAGAGGGTAAGATTAAATAGGGTGAGTGAAATAGACCCGGTAAATTAATTGCCTTTCGATATTCCATCTCGACAGGTTGACTCAGGCCTTGGGATTTATACGCGTGGATGATAAGTCAAGTTTCACCACGATATTCCTTTGCATGCTTTACATGTAATCCACATTGTACACATTAATATCACATTGTGCCCATTAATATCACATTGTGCACATTAATATCACATGGTGCACATTAATATCACATTGTACACATTAATATCACATTGTACACATTAATATCACATTGACGACTTCATCTGAAAGCTATTACAGTGAAACAAACACAAGTTTAAATGAAAGGCGATTAAAACGTTTGTTGGAATAATTTATACATTAAAAATCATTTTCGAACTTTCACATAGATAGGATTATGTTAAAGACTAGTTTATATGTTAAAAAGAGTTGCTAAGAAATACCTATTCTTTTACCTACCATGCTCATGTCGGTGCTTGATCCACTGTACCCAGTGTTGACAGAATACACGGCTTTCATTGGCATTTCCTCCTATAGTCATAGCAACCACAGTTATTATTAAAATTCGTCAACTAGGTCACTGTATTTAACTATTTAAAGTGGACTACGTATGCAACAACTGTCGATTTCGAACATAAATGTTACAACATGATTTATATAGCCAATCCAATATCTGCCCGCATATGTATTACAAATAATTTAATATGAAATAATTTATCGAATTTCATTATAAACTTTTAATAAGTCTTTTTTTTCTTTTTATGTGATTCATAATTCCTGATGTCAAGATTGTAATACTGGTAGAATAATCTACGCCAAAACAGATATGTTTTTACAGGAAAATGTTAAATATTACACTTAGCCGACTGATAAATACAATTTAAAATAAATTTAACATCAAATTCAGCGTTTTTAAAACCAAATCCCACACAACTTTCCATGGAAACTTAGTGTTACTAGTTCTCACCTCCTCTTTCCTCCGTCGACACCACACGACACACAGAATAAGCAGTATGATGATTAACAACGCGCCGGACGTGGCTCCAATGATCGAGTAAATCTCCTCCGCTTCTATCGCTTCGTCGTCACCTTCACCGGATTCATCGTTCATGTTAGTACCTGGAGTAGTAGAACACGTGATCATTTTGATTCCACGCAATGACACCTATGATACATTTGGATAGAATACAATGTGGTATACAGTAGGATATTCCATTACACAAACCCAATTATTTATACCCGGTTATATATTTCACAGTATTAGAGTGTGAGCAAGGGAGTCCATTCCCAGATGTACAAACACCCGAAAAATGGCACAAACTGTGTTATGGCTAGATATCCCCCACCTTATGAATAACAAATTAGATGAAAATCCGGGTGATTTTGCTGTTATCGTCAGCGTCACGGACGAATGACAGGTATCTTACATTTTAATACATTAATGTTATTTTAAATATATTTCTTTGGGATATTGTCAAACATCACTTTTTTCTAAATTGGCTTTATTTTGACTATTTGGTATGTTTTGTTTGCAGTAAGCTGATGAGATATGGTAAATGCATCTTTTTAATTAAACTAATTAAATGATTTCACAATCATCGAAGCATACAGTGTTTAATTTGTAATTTTGCGTTTAAAAACAGTAGCAACCTCCCAAAAATATATCTCTTCCGCATTTGTTTCAATCGTTCAATCGAAACATATTACACAAATTAAAAGGCGGTCAAGTAAACATTTTAGTAACGAGTGATAAGCAATATACATGAGTAATTATTTTAAGACACGGTTTAATGGTCAGACACAAGCAGGCAATCTAACCTACTTACTTCAGACTTCATGACTGGCAATGGCGGATACTTACATATACTTACTTCCACTATGAACCACAGAAAAGGGCATCATGTTTTATAACAATGAATGCCAGTAAGTTTACTTAATCAGTCGTTTCTGACTAAGATCGATATTGATGTGACGAACTGTCAGCATATACATCAATATGCTAGACAAAATTCTAAATATGTTCATCATTTTGAAATGGGGGTCCGTATTGTATTCATGAAACCGAACTCATGCTCAAGGATGAATCCTGTTTAAATTATGGAACATGGACAAAGAGTCAAGCATAAACATTGAGACCGGTATTCGGCGTCATGTCCCACCAAAATTATTCAATATCATTGCCAAATTGTGACTTTATTATCATTGAACAATAAATTGGGTATTGAGTATGAGCATTGGTAACAGTTTCATGAATACAGGCCTAAGCCTCGGACTAGCATGTACAGAACTAAGGACTTCGTTCAGATATTGATAACCTGCCTACTAACGGTGTTTATGTAGGTTTGCATATTAACCAAAGAAAATATCTCACAAGTACTACTTGACATGTTTGTATCATTGTTTTGGTCACAAATTTGTAACAAATCATGTGAAATGTATGTATTAAATTTATGGGTCTTATCATGTAAATGTATGTTATTGGCTAATCTAAATATCAAGGAATGATGCTTGGAATTCTGTTTCAGGGATTATGCCTCCTTTGTTTTTAACGTAAGTTTAGTCTACTTGGCACAGTGTGCCATGAACGTTGAGATGAGAATAAATTACTCTACTTACAGGTTTTATCATTGTCGTCTAGGACCCAGCCTGGGTGACAGGAACAGACGAACGAGCCGTTATAGTTCGTACACTCCTGTTCACAAGCTACCTTCTCTGTCAGCTGACACTCGTTCACGTCTGTTGAGAAAAAAACATGTTTGTGTTGAGAAAATCATGGCATGTGGTGAAATAAACAAGGTATGTGTTGAAACATGTTGAAACACGTGCAATTGTTGTAAAGGAGTATCTCTTTTAACATGTTACCTTTTCAGATAAACAAATAATGTATTAAGATGAACAGGTTATATGTTTAGTTAAGCATATTATGCTATAAGATAAACATATAATACGTTGTGATGAACATGGCATGCTCTGAGATAAAAGTCTTATGTGTTTAGATAAACGTGTTATATAGTATAGATAAACATATAGTATGTTGGGATAAACATGGTATGCTGAGATAAAAGTCTTATGTGTTCAGGTAAATACGTCAAGTGTTGAGCTGACATATTAAGTGTTGAGATAACCATGTCTTGTGTTGAGCTGACATATTAAGTGTTGAGATAACCATGTCTTGTGTTGAAATTAACATGTTTTGTGTTTAGATAAACATGAAATGTGTGGCAATAAATATGTTTTGCTGAGATTAACATGTTATGAGTTGCGATAAATATTACATGTTGAGATAAGCACGTTTTGTATTGAAATAAACAAGTTATGTTTTGAGATAAACATTTTTTTGTTACAACATATGTTTTTTTGAGCTAAATATCCTTTAATAGGATCCAATGTAGTGAAAATAAAACGCCAAGCTGATGCCCTAACGTAATCAATGGGGTCTTACCTTCACACGTTTGACCGTCAGCATTTAGTTTGTATCCATTACCACATGTACACGTGTGTGTCCCTAACCCATTGATACAGTCGTGATCACACCCGTGATCAAAGCTACACTCGTCAACATCTGAAAGGTAACAATAGTAACAGATAGAATAGGTATAAACTTCATACGTGTATCCTTAACCGATATCGTATAACATATTCTAGTTTGTAATCAGCTTGTGGGAACTGTGTAGGTTTACAACAAACATGGTAAATGCAAATCAAATTCTTGATCAAAACGAGGTTATTAAAATATAAATATGTTGTGCATTTGTTTTTTCATTTTTTTGGGGGGTTTTGTCAATGAATAAAACGGATATCTGCATGCAAGCATCAAATATAATTAATGTTATGGTTATAACGTTTTTATGACCATGATGACTTCATATATCAACACACTTTAAATTCTTCTGAATTCTTACCGTGTGTCAAATATAAAAATCATAAAACATTTAAAACGTTATATAGCATTAAGTGAACGTGTATCATCTGTACTAACATTGTACGGTAGGATTTAAACAGACCTGAATGTCCTTAATTGACCTGGTATTACCGGTACCACTACTGGTCTTATATTGACATAGATCCAGTATGACAGGTATTGACCTTGTATTACCACTACTGGTCTTATATTGACATAGATCCAGTATGACAGGTATTGACCTTGTATTACCACTACTGGTCTTATATTGACATAGATCCAGTATGACAGGTATTGACCTTGTATTACCACTACTGGTCTTATATTGACATAGATCCAGTATGACAGGTATTGACCTTGTATTACCACTACTGGTCTTATATTGACATAGATCCAGTATGACAGGTATTGACCTTGTATTACCACTACTGGTCTTATATTGACATAGATCCAGTATGACAGGTATTGACCTTGTATTACCACTACTGGTCTTATATTGACATAGATCCAGTATGACAGGTATTGACCTTGTATTACCACTACTGGTCTTATATTGACATAGATCCAGTATGACAGGTATTGACCTTGTATTACCACTACTGGTCTTATATTGACATAGATCCAGTATGACAGGTATTGACCTTGTATTACCACTACTGGTCTTATATTGACATAGATCCAGTATGACAGGTATTGACCTTGTATTACCACTACTGGTCTTATATTGACATAGATCCAGTATGACAGGTATTGACCTTGTATTACCACTACTGGTCTTATATTGACATAGATCCAGTATGACAGGTATTGACCTTGTATTACCACTACTGGTCTTATATTGACATAGATCCAGTATGACAGGTATTGACCTTGTATTACCACTACTGGTGTTATATTGACATAGATCCAGTATGACAGGTATTGACCTTGTATTACCACTACTGGTCTTATATTGACAGAGATCCAGTATGACAGGTATTGACCTAGTATTACCACTACTGGCCTTATATTGACATAGATCCAGTATGACAGGTATTGACCGTGTAAATACTTATTGACTTTGTATGACTTACATTGACCCCATGTGACCTACATGAAGTCTATACGAACTATGGACGATTATTGACTGTAATAGCCCTCTCCGATCTCCAATGTCCCGGTACGACCTGCCGTAACCATGTATTACTTTTCTGCCACAGTACGCCAAAGTAGAAACGTAACTTCATACTCAGATCGAGGTATACAAAACCGTCTGTGATACTGGGGTTTACTGTAACCCTGTAAGACCTATGTGACCTCTACTGACCCTTTTCGTACCAGAATACACGCCCTTAAATGACCTTGGCTGTTAGTAGGACGCTAAACCCTGTACAACCAAAACCAATCAAACCTGTTAAAATCATCAAAGAGCTGTACTGACATGTGCTGACCTTGTATACTCTGTAATAACAATAAATGACCTTTACTAACATTGTTGACCTTTTATTACCATCAATGACCTGTACTGACCTTGTATGACCTGTACCGCCATTCCATATCCTTTGCTGTTGTAGGCTTTACACGTGTACGTGCCGAAGTCATTCATTGTGAGCGAGTGAATCGTCAGAGTGGCGTTTTTCTCTACAGAATTAACACTGGTCAGGCTATGACTTATCCTGTAAAAAATCCCAAATTGAATTAAATTCAAAAGGACATATTTAGCATGCCCCTATATTGCCACCGTCCCTCTATGTCACCGTAGTTAAATAGTCATGCTTGTTTCATCCTAGATTTTGCTTACACAACATCCAATGTCTCATTGTAAATGGAAACTGGGGTTTAAATTTATTTCTATTGTGATAAATTGTATGTAGACAACGCTTGACTCACATCACTACACATACCTTGATGATGCAGAAAGCAACTTGTCCTCGAAATACCACAGCACAAGCGTAGGGGCGGGAGTAGCAAAGATCGAGCATTTTAGCACAAGCTCCTGTTCGAGAAGTCCATATGTCGATAACTTGGGCGCCACAACAACGGGCGTTCCTACAACACACAAAAAACATTGATGGTAATAATGAAATATCCCATAACAAGAGACAATCACACACAGGTGGTGTTGAGAAAGAGGGACTAAATGCATAGATACAATTGCCATCCTATACATTTACATGGATGATGCCACGATTTTGTTCCGATGTTATGTTAGCAGAGATCACAGAGATCACGGAGGTCACAGAGGGAAAACCCGACGCTGCAGCGATCCTTTATGGGACTACTCTTACGAGTACATGCAGTGTTATATACTAGGAATATTCTTACTTGAACCAGCAATGGTCTTTGGACAAAACCTTCATATGACTTTAGCTTAACTGTTGTTGAGCATATCGACTTACTACTTTCTCTTTGCCTACATGTTACAGTTTGTCTACTTTCTCTTTGACTACATGTTGCAGTTTGTCTACTTTCTCTTTGCCTACATGTTACAGTTTGCCTACTTTCTCTTTGACTACATATTACAGTTTGTCTACTTTCTCTTTCACTACATATTACAGTTTGTCAACTTTATCTTTGCCTACATGTTATAGTTTGTCTACTTTATCTTTGCCTAAATGTTAAGGTTTGTCTACTTTATCTTTGCCTACATGTTATAGTATGTCTACTTTATCTTTGCCTACATGTTACAGTTTGTCTACTTTCTCTTTGACTACATATTACAGTTTGTCTTCTTTCTCTTTCACTACATATTACAGTTTGTCTCCTTTATCTTTGCCTACATGTTATAGTTTGTCTACTTTATCTTTGCCTACATGTTAAGGTTTGTCTACTTTATCTTTGCCATCATGTTACAGTTTGTCTACTTTCTCTTTGCCTACATGTTATAGTTTGTCTACTTTATCTTTGTCTACATATTACAGTTTGACTACTTTATCTTTGCCTACATGTTACAGTTTGTCTACTTTATCTTTGACTACATGTTACAGTTTGTCTACTTTCTCTTTGCCTACATGTTATAGTTTGTCTACTTTCTCTTTGCCTAGATGTTACAGTTTGTCTACTTTATCTTTGCCTACCTGTTACAGTTTGTCTACGTTCTCTTTGGCTACATATCACAGTTTGTCTACGTTCTCTTTCCCTACATGTTACAGTTTGTCTACTTTCTCTTTGCCTACATGTTACAGTTTGTCTACTTTTTCTTTGCCTAGGTGTTACAGTTTGTCTACGTTCTCTTTGGCTACATATTACAGTTTGTCTACGTTCTCTTTCCCTACATGTTACAGTTTGTCTAATTGCACTTTGCCTAGATGTTACAGTTTGTCTACTTTATCTTTGCCTACCTCTTTCAGTTTGTCTACTTTCTCTTTTCCTAGGTGTTACAGTTTGTCTACTTTCACTTTGCCTACCTGTTACAGTTATGTTGATGCTGTCCTTACTGACGCCGTTGTGATGCGGAACTTCACATGTGTAACTTCCGGTGTTGTTGTACATGACCGGATTGTACATGAGATTGTAATAAAACCCGGTCGAGTTCTCCATGACGTAGGTGGAGATTGTGACGCCATCATATCGTCTCTCTTCGGAATCTTGAATGCGTAATACATGATTTCCTACGAAACTTAGGATAATCCAGTTCATCTACAAAAAGGATTCGTGAACTTAACGCTGTCGTAAATAAAATTAAAAAAAAGGAAATTCCTCTACAGAGTTTTTCAAACTGGGTGAAACCCGAGGTTTGCGGAAGGTGGAATTTCCCTATCCTACATCCCTCGGCATGAGAGTTTCTTTTTCTTTTACATTTCAATCACCGGAATTAGGTAGGGACCCATAGACAGGCGTTGACGTTTCCTCATTACTCGGCGTACCTTACCGGGTAACATTAGAAACTTCATTCGAGTTGCATTCATAGTCATAATCAAATTTAGAATGTAAATATATGTACTGAACAGTACTTTTCAATATTCATACCGGTATGAATGTAAATCGGTATGATTTAAAAGTGCGTTCATGCCGACATGAACATTGAAAAAAATGTCGTTCAATTCCCAGATGAATGCCAGCAAGTTTTTGCGCTTTATGTTTTTGCCAATAAATGTCAATCGAAACAGATCAAAGTTTACCTTGACCGGCATTTTAACTCCCCAGTACGTATAGCAACCCTGTTATTAAACAAACAAAAAATAATTGCTTCTGTTTGCTGTTCAATAACCTATTACGGTAAGGTGACACATATTACCTTCATGGGCTGATGAGGAAATCCTGTGACGAGACACGTGACTCGGAGTGTCCCCTGTACAACAACGTTGGAGAAATACGGACTCGGCTCAATGATCTTAGCCGTTTTACCACCGCTCATATCGCTTGATGGGAAGTTCTCCATTGAAATATTTGTCAACGCTGGAAAAAAAAACAAAAAAAAACCACTTTTCTCTACAGATATGGCTACAGTTGTACGAGTTGTAAACTTAAAAGTTTATATTTAGAAAATGTCTGCAAATAAAACCATAAGAATTCTTTCTAAAGGTTATATTTGTTCACGTTGATTAACGGCGGCGTCGTCCAAGACTTCCGTCTTCATATGGTCTTAGATTTTAGGAAACGTTAAACCCTAACTAAACAAACGTTTAAGTCATTAATTACTCTCTTGTTTTATTAAAGAACTTACTTTGCAGTGACACATTTTTGCTAGAGGACCCCTTGTCGTTGGTGAAGACACACGTGTAGATGGTCTCATCATTACTTGTCACATTTAAGATCAGCAGCCTGCTCACAATCACAGCAATGCCGCGATTAGAAATGAAAAATCTGAAACAAACAAAAATAGCATTACGTTGATGATTGTTCGACTAGTTGGTCCTCATTCTCGTTTGGTTAGCATTATACAAAGAAGATGAAAATCCTGATGTTTGATGTAAACCAGGGTAAAGAGACGAAGAGTTGCGACTGACCTGTCGTCTGTGCCGTTCGTGATTATCTCGTTGTTCCTTTTCCAGACAATTTTCTGGATCGGTGGTACGGCTATAGCCCCACACGAAAGACTCGTATCGTTGCCGATAAGAGCCGATAACTTGTGAGGAGACATTTCCAGGAATGGAATATCTGTAAGAGAAAACAGGAAGGCAAAATGATGATGGTTTCTTTCTCGTTTAGAATTAACAATACGTTCATTCTCCGTTTCGTTACAAAATAATGAAGATTATGATATTGTTAATTATCGCTTTCCTTCGGCAACAAACCGGACGAAACAACAGGTTAACGACTAGACACACATTAACATGCGGAAGTTAAGTGCGTTCCGTTTTCGTTAGAGTAAATCAACATGACGAAAAATAGCGATCCAAACAACAAGAATAATACATTGTTTTTGTTTTTTATTTGTTTTTAATTAATTCATTATCATATTTATCGTTATTAGCGATATCTCAAATAGATCCTACCTTCTATCACAACTTTGACCGCGCCTTCTAGCATACGGCCGCCGTGGAATGTTGAGCACATGTACATGCCAGTGTCTTCCTGTGTGACGGACGTCACAGTCAATAGAAACTTGTCTCCGTCACTGGATAAAGAACTGGACACAAGATACTTGTTCGGATCGTACGGCGTTTTCTCCGCCGCACTGGTGATGGTCTTTAGTCCAACTCGTGTCTTAACGGACCAACCAACCTGAAAAAAAGAGTGTAACAGCAAAGGTATATTAGGTGGAGATACTGCCTTACTGGCAAGCTCGCTTTTCCAGTGATGCGGTATAACGGGGGGACCCGCTCACTAGGTCAGCAACGTCGAGCGTGGTCAGTAGTTGGATGGTAACCGCCCGCACGTTACAAGAGTTCTGATTTTATACTTGTAGTGACTGACCACTGGATTAAATTTCAAAATAGACTTGGTCGAATTTTCATCTGTTGCATCTCGTTAATTTCGTATTTAAAAACTAAATATCTAGATAACACACCAGCCAATAAGGTGGCCAGGAAATTTCGATTAGCCTTTATAGGGAGCACATGGCAAAAGCATTTAAACAACATTATTTCAGTTTCAGTTCAATTTTCCAATTGGTATTTGGAAATGCCCCCAATACGCCATATTGCAACAATGTTTAGTCTTGTTAACACTTCCCTATTCGTTTCATTGCATCAGTGGATCCCGAGGCACCCGTCTTCATTGCCCTTAACTGTTGAGCGGACGTTAAACCAAAAACCAAAACGCAAATAAAAAACGAACAGATAGAAGAAAACCAAATCTTAACGAAGTTCTTCAACACTCACGTCCATCTGCTAGACTGTAGGTTATATTGTCGTTTTGTATAGTGACTTTATATATCACAGTGCGTACCTTGTAATCGCTGCCTAGGTTCCTGCCCGTACACGTGATCGTGACGTTGGTTCCATTATCTACCCTGTATTCCATTGTATCCGGATCTGTTACCTTCAGAAAAGGTATGTTCTCTCCATCGTCGCCGGTCGCGCCACCTGCCCGCCGTCGCCCGCATACTAGCACTATGGCAATTCCAAGGACGACAACTGTAAAATAGAAACTCGATTGTAAAAGCCTTCCGTTTATCAACCTCAGAGAATTTTGATAAGCCAAGAAAAATCTAAGCTTGTTTGATTGGCTGTTGTCGACCTCAAGTGTGTATTTGATTAGGTTTCATTACCTCAGACTACTAGAATGGATATGGTTGGCAGTAATGTACCTCAGAGCGCCACACATAAGGACATCTTTGATTGGTTCAAATCTATCTTTGACGTTCACATATAAGCACCAATTCGATTGGCTTCGGTCTACCCCCAGGAAGTCCCATATGAAGACAGGTCTGATTTGCTCTGAATTAAACATACATGTATAGTCAGGATATCAAAGTACTACGTAACAAGCTTTTATGTTTACTTGTGCTTTGTTTACTTACGTAACCTAATATGTTTTCGATGTTTGTCATACCAGATTTATGTGAAAGCATATGCCATATGTAAATGCGGATAACGGTTATCCATGAACTATCGTCCAGTGTGACCACCAACCGATCGACCGGATCATCGGAAGTAGTATAGCTAGGTCGCACTACAGTAACATCCAAAACAGAAGATAAGGGAGATAACTTTACACACAACAAAACTACAACGGAAATCTGTTGTGTTTGTCTGAAATGGGACAAGGATCCTTAAAACGTTAAGCGTTGTACAAGATTCCTTAAAACCTCGTTATGGATTCTACTCAGTTTCGTTCTCAAACAAATACTCCCCGCGTGGTAAAATCAGTATCAACACATCTTAATGGCTGTGCATGTACCCTTAAAATAACTTAATTCAACCCGCTGTAGACGTATCTCTGTCGTTACCTTGGCGCCGACATGATTGCTGTTACCTACTGATTCGAGGCGGATAATCAGAACGAGGCTGCAGAACCAGTCGTCGACAGATATAGATTGTGTTATGTAGTGAACAACTTAACGGGTTTTAACAGGTCATTGTGTAAGTGTGGTATTCTAAATGCCGAAATTAAAACATGGTGCATTGGTATGGAAAATAGTGCAAACCTGCATTGAAACGACCATGTTGGTTATTATGTACATGTAGTTAAACGTTTTATTATGTTCACAGTAAGGCGTGACCGTCCCTGTAACAACTGTCGTGTAGTATACTCCGAGTGTTACAGGTTCAGTAGGCACTATAGGTATTGGGTACACGAACGGTTCCACACTAATAAAGCCGTCAATAGCCTGCTAGCAAGGGTCGTCGCTATTTACCTAGGAGTATGGTGTAGAATGCTGTTCAAAGAAAAAGAGGTCTGTACACCGGGGAAATACACCTAGCAAGACTCGCGATATCACATTTCTATTAAGGCTTCCGGTCCCTCGAAACATTGAGTTTCTTTGTTATCGGTAATAGTGTTTCTATATGAGGTCCCAACACAGTCACCATATCTATCCTGCAGATGATACGGTGTGTGTGTTGACCTCGAGTCCAGACATACTAGCTACGCTCTTGTCTTCACCGTCACACTATTTTATGGCAATGACTGCAACCTAGGAGTATGGTGTTTAATGCTGTTCAATGAAAAAGAGGTCTGTTCACCGGGGAAATACACCTAGCAAGACTCGCGATATCACACTTCTATGAAGGCTTCCGGTCCTTCGAAACATTGAGTAGTAGGGTTTTCTTTGTTATCGGTAACTGCGACGACCCTTTCACCGTCACACTATTTTATGGAAACGACTGCAACATGAGTTTTTCCGCTATGATGAATATCTGTAATAAATATATGCCAAAATATGGTAAGTGGACTGGTCTATTCTGTGGTAGGTAGAAAAGGAGAATTTTAACTGGATTTTATATCAGACTTGCCGTTAAATAGAAAAGTTTCCTGTCAGAGCTGGAGCTGGCAGATTCTTTTAGTTTACGCAAGAGTCATGTTTAGAATAACTAGCAATTCAAGTCTAGTCACCGGTACAAGTGTAGATGCCAGAGCATGTTTTATTAAAACGATAAAACTGTTGCCAGTAAATTAATCTGGTATTTCCCTCAAATAAGCACCGTATTTACTATTTACACTTGTTTTATAATTTCTTCTCTTGTAATTATAGTTCTCATCATTTGGCATTTGTATATTTACAGCAGATCGTAATGATGAATGGAATACAAGGACCATTTTAAAGTGTCGTAAAACTTCATAATCTAGACAAGGTATAACGTCCGACACCCTACCTAGTCATGTTATTCTGACAGCGGGCTGACCAGAGGTGCCTAGAAAGTCGCTACAGAAAGGAACGTTAAACGTCCAATTAACAGCTAATGCCATTTAAGGACGGGCCTCCGTGTGTGTAGTGTATGCATGATTGCCTGTGCGCGGTGGAGACAGGGTATGTTGGTTGTAAGCCTCCTTGTGATAGCGCGGATCTGATGCCGACTTTATAGTGCTATATCAATGAGAGAAACGAAAAAGGGTTACACAGGGGGCAAGAAGACCAATGCTAGCTCAGAACACCACATCAGCCAAAAACCGCTACTGCCCATGTCGCCTCAAAAGATCATTCAGTACACAGTCACTTTTCCATAACGTTATTTTAACATTGAAAACAGATGCTGTCATTTGATCTTATGTCAATATAAATGTTACATCAGAGGTGAACCCCTGGCACTTTTGTCTACATCAAGTTCAAGTTCTCTATTGCATTGAGTCTAGCAACACATCGGTTTCAAACGTGAGGTATTTACAATGTTTACATACAATATAATACCAGACCAGCACCATACAAACAGTTACAAATGAAGTTAATAAGTTACTTCTTACGTGTGAAGTTTTACGTTGGATTTTTCTATTTACTACCCGTAAACGAAGGGAAGTCATTAGAATTGTAAATAAGTGTTTCACTGATATTCTTTGTAAGTAGTTATAAACCAAAAGTTCCAACGTCAATGAAAGTAGAAAAGAACTTCAGAATAAAATCACTAGAACACAATCGTGTGTATACTGATATTTAACTTTACTTCTTTTACAATAATTATGAAACAAGTTATTACAACTTATATTAATCACTTTTGTTGGCCTGGATGTTAGAGCGACGGATTCTTAATGTGGGAAGAAACCGTAGTACTCGCAGAAAATCCACGTGGTCGGGCAGTTGAACACGAAAGTTGAAAACTGATATAGTTACGGCCCTCTTGATTCCCTTTTGTATGGGAAAAGTGGTATAATGACCGAAATAGGATTCATCTGTTCGGTGTGAATAACAAATGCTAAGTTTGTTTTGAACACAAACAGGAATTGAAAACTTATTTTGCGAGCTTTCGAAAACGTTTGTTTCCTTTGTCAAGCAAAGAATGCTAATTACCGGTTTATCGACTCTAAGCCGCTGACAACAACTCACTAAGCCTCAGAAAGCCGAATCAAGTAAAGTGAGCTGTCAAAGTTCATGGGACATTTCGCCTAATTGCACTCCAATACTGCAGGCAGTCATTGGGCTGGGTAACATGTTTACAAGGATTATTATTATTTCTTTATTTCCTCCAAATTGAAGAGTTACAAAAATATACAGTGTAGTCAAAATACAAATCAAATATTATTAATTGATTCTTACATGCACATAAATACATCAGTTAACTACAGAGATGAAGAGAGAAGTTAATGAAACTTGAATTAGTTTAGTAAATACAGAAAGAACAGCAAATCATACAAAATAATTAGAATGCCTGGGAATCCTGAGGTTTCCAAGGGTTGGGGAAAGCCCTACCAACAAGGTCTTCTCAGGCTTACCCACACATAAACACACACAAAATAAGAGAGAAAAAATAATAATTAGCTAGATACAACAGCAACATTTTGCCAATAAAAATAGCATTATGCAGTACAATGGTTACATAATCAGTTGAGCTTAATATGTGGGGAAGGCTACCCCTAGTAATGCATGAATTAAATCATAATCAGACAAAGAGGATAAGAACACGCCAAGTTCTATATCAAAAGCCGTACTTATAAGACACCATAGATCGTCTCTAAGACTTTCAGTTTTTGTACAATGGATTACTGTATGTGTTATACAGTCATTATGTAAAATACCACAAAAATGGCATAATTCAATAATATTTGTTGATCTTAAATTAGCACATAATCGACACCAGCAATTTACTGTCAAACATTTTATGACCGGGTGCGCCGATTTTAGACAAAAACGTAATATTCGTATCACGTAACCCGAGTAAAACATTATTTGGGGCGATTTCTGTGTAATTAGCACAGGATTATTTACATTCAAATGATCGTACAACAAGATGTGATATCATGTTTTACAACCACTTCGTTTGCCATTCATTTTTGTTATGTACTTAAAGCACTTCAACATTTCCGTTTAGGTTTGGAGTATTTGTTTGTTTTAGTTCTAGGTGTTTGGCACTATATGACCTGAGTTGTCGATGGGCTGTAAAACAATACAAAAACAAAAACAAAATCCGTCGTCTCAATACTATCCTCAGATGAGAAATGACATCACATTGGGAACGCAATGGTCAAACCCAGCCCCACCTTTAGAGATATACAGCTTATAACGATATACTTAATCCTTATAATGGTACCATACCCATCTATAAATATATATACCATCACTGTGGGAGTGTTATCTGGGCCTGTTACACAATACCGCGTGCAGTTCACACCGATTTTACAATGTACCCTCTTATGATTGTGACTCACAAAGTACTCGGATATACCAAACAATCGTTATTTTCGTATTTTTCAGTCACGAGATTTTGTTTTGGACTAAATCGAGTAATTGTCTTAATATACCTGTATAGACATGATGTTTTTGATTGCTTAAGCTGTGGTGCTCAGTAACAAACACAACCACTCTTCATCAGATAAAGATATTTCCGTTTGTTTTTGAATTCACCTCCTTACTTCATCTTAGGTCATAATGTAGGAAGACGCGGTCATCAATAAGAAAAGAACTATACATAGAAACATGAAATAAATAAACATTCAGAAGTAAAGATTTAACAGATATGTTTTCAGAATTTGGACAACGGCGATT